AATACCAAGTTTTTAGTTTTTTGTTGTTGAGTGCGCTGGTAGCTAATAAATTGGTTAACTCCTGTCGTGTTGTTTCGGGCAGGGAAACACTTGACATATTTGACAGCGTAGCAACCAGGTTCATAACAGAAATCAACTTAACACTAGTTACCCATGTATACAACCAAAGTCATGATTAACGAGATCACTTGAGGCTACATTTAGCTCTTAGCTTTCCACCTTTAAGAACAATTTTGGAAAAAATGAGAGAGGAGTGAGAGAGATCGACCCCCGAACTGTTATTCAGTAAATTGACACCTGATTCAGATAGAGTGAGAAGTGGTGGCAGCATGAAGACCAAACTGTAAGAATACTTACACTGGAATACATGACCCAACTGTTTTCCAGATGCAACATTAAAATCATGGAATAATCCTCTCAGTGAATGAAGTTTATTCTTGGTATTCTATTGCTTCTGTCATATCGCTCAGTCTACGGTCTACAGCTAGTAAATACATAACACCTATTACAATGTTTCTGAATTTCCTACCACATTCTCCCTAATTTTTTCTTTTTTCATGTTCGATTTTGTGTTCTGATGTGGTGATATGAGGTATAGCACCATGGAACAATATGCAGTAATGCTGGGTCCTGTTGATGGTGACTATCATCATCATCATTATCAACATAGGACCAGGCATTACTGCGTAACGGTCCGAGATGCCACACCTCATATCAGCACATCAAGTAAAAAGGTAGTGAGGTGAAGGATGAAGATAAGTGAATGCAGTCAAAAGAAATATAAAGTACGAGAAGAAAGGAAAGAGGAGTGACAAAATAGTGAGATTCGGTATAGCGTTGTTAAGATGAGGATAATGTGTGTATACATCTGCGCCACTGACTTCGGTTCTGAGCCATATCACCTAGGGTCTCCAACCACTGGTTCCTCTTGTCCCGTGGACCCCAACCACCTAGTCTGCATCGTCCTACATGGCTTAAACCAACAGTCAGAGACTTCATACATTGGTGCCATGTTTTAGTCTGGCCACCTCGGGCCTTTTTCCAGCCTGAACCCACCTCAGCCAACATTGTGTGACGAGGCAATCGGTGACTAGGCATACGTAGTACGTGTCCCAACCATCTCAGTCGATGAAGGTTCACAACCTCGTCGACTGACTTACCTCTTCTCCCTAAAACTCTACACCTAACTTCTGCATTACTCACATGGTGACACCACGGAATACGTCCTATACTACGAAGGCAACGGTGGTCAAACCTGAAACCTTCTCATGTCTTCCACTTTCAATGGCCATGTTTCACAGCCATACAGTAGAACAGAGCGGACTGCTGTGCAGTACACGCGACCCTTAATAGACAAACGAATATCACGGCGGCGCCATAGGTGGCGCAAATTGGCAAAAGCCAATCGAGCCTTTTGTATCCGTGCAGAAATCTCATCGGCAACTAACCCACCGGAGTTGATCCTACTTCCCAGGTAAGTGAAGTGGTCAACACACTCAACCACTTCACTCTCTATTGTTAACCGCGGTACCGCTGAAGACCAGTCCTGGAGCAAAAATTTGCATTTGGGTGGTGAAAATCGCATCCCAAACATTCTCAAATTCCCACTCAAAGTGTTCAGAAGACTCTGCATCTTGTCAGCGTCTTCACCTAACAGGACTATGTCATCTGCATATTCTAGATCTAAGGAAAATTCACCTGTGATCGGTCAACGTCTTTGTAATTAGGTGACGAGAGGGAAACCTCCATAAGAATATCTATGATAAAATTAAATAAGAATGGGGATAGTGGGCATCCTTGACGGACACCACTTGATGAGTATAGCTCCCTGGACAACTCACCATAGGCTCTAACATGCCCACAAGTGTTCGAGTAGAGAGCTTTCAATAAGGTGATGTACTTACTAGGCACGCCTTTCAGTGACAGACACTGCCATAAGACTTCTCGATCAACGGAGTCAAATGCCGCCTTCAGGTCGAGAAATACAGCTATTGTCGGGCGTCTGTAAGCATGCCTATGTTCCAGGACCTGGCGCAGTGTGAATATTTGGTCGATACATCCACGGCCAGGTCTAAAGCCTGCCTGGTTTTCTCGGGCTTGCTGTTCCCGAGCTCCACTCAGGCGTCGGAGAATTATAGAACTTAGGATCTTAGACACTATGTTTGTCAGGCTGATTCCTCTGTGGTTATCACAAGAGGACTTCTCGCCTTTCTTGAAGACTGGGATGATGAGTGACTTAGACCAGTCGGAGGGGATCGTATTTGATTCCCATATACTGGCTAACACTTCCGTTAGCCTGACTAAGAGAACTCTACCACCATTCTTGTATACCTCAGCAGGTAGTCCGTCTGGTCCTGCTGCCCTTCCCCGTTTCAGGCTACCTACCGCTTTCTCAACTTCTTCTAGTGTTGGGGGACCTGTCTCTATGTCCCATTCAGGGTCCGACTGGATAGCGGGCAGCGCAATGGTGGCTGGAGGCCAGTTAAACTGTTCCTCAAAGTGTTCTGCCCATCGTCCCTCCTGCGAGTGAATCGCAGATCCGTCCTTCTCCGCTATAACCTCACTAACTGTTGTTGACCATTTCCCCCCAGTCTCCTTAATAAGTCTAAATAACTGTCTACTGTTACCGATCGCCGCTGCCTTTTCCATCTCTTTAGCCTTTGCTGCCCACCACTGTTCACGATCGTTGCGCAGACTTTTCGTCAGTTATTTTTAAGTTGCGCTCGCTCTTCATTGTACTCAGAGCCTGCAGGGATGCATTCACGTGCATCCATTAGTTTGGAAGAAGCTGCTGATATCCACTGGCTCTTTTTAGCCATTATCTTGGAGTCGGCTACAGTCTCCAGTGCTGCTTTTACAGTAGACTGAAGATGGCACCAAGCTTCTTCTGGATGAGTGACAGTCTTTTGTTCCGATAACTGCCTAGCCAACTTCTCACTGAACACGGCTTTGGTGTTTTCGTTGTCCAGCAGAACTCGTAGTGGTTTTGTTGCCAAATTTTTTCTACGTCCATTGAGACGCAGGCATATACGTGCTCGGACCAACGCATGATCGCTGTCCAAACACGTACTCCAGAAGGAGCGGCAGTCTTCCACCGATCCTCTCCAGCGATGACTAATAGCAATGTGGTCTATCTGTGTCCATCGCTGAGTCGAGCTCGGTGGACGCCAGGTCAGACAGTGCCTTTCTTTATGTCTGAAATTTGTGCTGGCTAAAAATAGGCGGTTATCTGAGCATAGTTGTAATAGGCGATCACCGTTATCTGTACGTTCAGCTGGGATTCCGAAAGTGCCACCTAAGTGCCTTTCTGCCTCACTCAGTCTACCCACCTGTGCGTTGAGGTCACCTGCAACAACCACTACGTCCGAACGTTTGGCTTTCGAGAGGAGGTTAGACAGTTTATGGTAGAACTCGTCCTTCACTTCATCCGAACTACAGTCAGTGGGTGCGTAAGCAGAGATTACAAAGAGACAACGGCGAGTCTCACTATTCCTTTTAGTTCTCACTGTGCCGTTCAGCCTCATAGCGCAGAGGCGACTATCAACTGGGATCCAGTCTAGTAGTGAGTTTTCTGCCCTGGTGCTTAATGCTATACCTACACCTGCAAGACCACGAGAGCTAGCTATCGAATCTCCAGAAACTCGAAGGGTGAATTTTGCGGATTCACCAGATTGGTCAGGAGAGGTCAGGTGAATAACCACACTTGGGTCCTGTATGCGTGTCTCACAAACACAGCACACATCCATGCCCGAGTTGCTAGAGTCTTTGCCAACGAAGCCTGTTGGCCAATTTGACGGAGGGTGCGGACATTGAAGGCTCCAATATGTAATTTGGAGCGTGGTTTAAGGAGACCAGGGATGCTGTTCTGTGGACTCAGATCGTTGTCGAAGGCTGCAGAGGTAGGAGAAATTGAAGATGATGCAGCATCATTAATTAAGAGACGTGAAGGAAGATTAGAAGGTAATGATGGAGGAGGAGGATAGCAGTCAGAAGAAACTTGGGTGCTGACAGAGTTGTGAGGGCGGTTGACACTTCCCGGCTGCCCACACCGTGGAAGGCTATTTCTTCTTAAGGTACCTGAAAGAGATTTGTGTGACCGCAGAGCCCATCGGACATCTGCTTGAGGCCTGTCACACCCAGCCTTTTGAGTATGATTATTTTGAATTTTGTATTTTTGGGGCCGGATGAGCGAAAGGAAACGACAAGTGAACCAACACCGCCGGCCCGGCAGACCGTGGGGCGTGGTGGAGTGTGTTATTTTTGGGGCCGACCTTTTCTAACCCCCCCTTCCACTGAGAAGGCAGCATCAGCATGGCACTGCTGGTCATCCAAGGGAAACACCTTACTGCTGTCACACCCCATCCAGCTAGCAGCAGTACGACTTCGCCCTCAGACCCCCATCATAGTGTAGCAATTTACACTATGACGGTAACTGCTTTTCGTCTAACCACTACCCAACAGACCTTTCTGGTATGGTAGGACCTCGAGGGAACAAGCGTTCCACCAGCATAGCTCGTTGGGTCATTGTGATATGCAAGCCCGACCACCACGTCAAGGTAGAAGCTATCGGTCGGGTTGGTGACTGTTTGAGAACAAAGTTTACTTACGCTTACAGGTCTTAGCATAATACAAGAGGAACATTAAATTACAATCATCAAAGCCTGAGTCAAACCTCAGTAGGCTCGCAAGAACAAGCACTGCTAGGAAGTAAATTAACTCAGTCTCCTGTAATCAACATGCAGACACACAATACCAATATAGGACCTGGCATAACTGCGTCTGGCACACATGAACTATTTTACTTTTCGACACAAAAATAATGAGATTCGGTGCAAATCATAGGATATATTTTACAAATAATTCGTCACTTTTCGTTGAGTTCACAGAAAACACAGTATTAAATGATAATGAGGTAACAACACACAAATTTACTAAAATGTCTTATTTATATACACCTGACAGTAAAATGTAAAATTTTTTCTGCAATTAACAATTCATACGCTGTTGTTAACAGATAACTTAACAAAGTCTTCTGTATAACTCCAAAGTCGACTGGCCAAATCGAGATCAAGGGAATTATCAGGCCATTCGATAGGTGCACAGTTATTATACAGCATACCGCTACCTGATGCTAGTGTTAGAGTAGATTCAGATTGGTTATGCTTACTAGGAACTTCAGTACTAATTGCACAGTGAACGGAAGTCTGACTGCCTTCTGTAGGAGACTTTAATAGCAGTCTCATTACACCACTAAGAATCCACCGAATGACTGATGGATATAGCATAAGAGTATCTCGAGTTAAACTAGTATTCACCATTCCACCAGTAAATAAGCAATATACATCGAGTACTTTATCCTTACCCGAACCATACCTTTGATGAAGTTCACGGGAAAATAGATTACAAGCTAGCTTAGAATCAGCATAAGCTTTGCTTGAATTTAAATTTGAAGCACTGTCATATGGTAAGAATAAAGTTTCTATCGAAAAATCACCTTTTCGTGATAAAGAAGAGCTAACATTAATCACTCGAGGATAAAGGGATGTTTCCTGATATGACTTTCGGAGATGTGGCAGGAGTAATGAAGTCAAATAGAAGTGGCCGACATAATTAGTCGCTAAAGTAACATTAATGCCTTGAAATGATGCCGATGAGCGAAGGAACTTGGGGAATACACCAGCATTGTTGACTAAAACGTGAACAGGTAATGATACTGACTTTGCGAACTCCTCTATTGATCGTGGATCTTCAAGGTCCAAATGACTTACGCAGACATTATGATTATCAGTAAGAGCAACAATTTCTTCTTTAACTTTGATAGCAGAATCTATGTTCCTAAAAAAATATTAAACATGGATCCTCAAACGAATCGCAACTTACCTGCAACCTAATGTGAGTCTCCATTTTCTTTTGGCCAATTCGAATGCAGTTGCACGACCAATACCAGAATTAGCACCAGTAATAACGGCATGTCGGCCTACTGGAGATGAGCAATCACAAACTATTGTCTTTCTCCATAGTAACCAACGCATTGTGTAAAGAACCAAAGTACTAACAGTGGTGCCAAATATGAATAACCATGTCATGTAAATTTAGAACAGCTCACGTAGGGAAACTGCAACATCAAAAAGATTTCTTTCAGGAAATTGAAGTTATACCGAAAATGTAATATAACAGAAAATGACACGGTCAAGAATATCAGGTGAATAAACCCTAACTTACTTTTGATCACCAAGACCGTCGGCTGCTATCTTGATTTGGAGGTCAGACCCGGATATCATAATGATCCAACAAGTTATGCTGGTGGGAACGTTTGTTCACTAGAGGTCCTACTATACTAGACCAAATGTAGTTACCATTACATTGTAAATTTCTGCACTGTGATGCAGATCCGAGGATGAAGTCATACTGCTGGCCAGACAAGGCCGTAGCAGCGGCAAGGTGCTTACTGCGGATAGCCAGCAGTGCGATGCTGATGCTACCTTCCCCATGGGAAGGTGAGGGTTGGAAGAGGTCGACCTCCAAAGTAGAACACCCGTTCCTACCCTGAGGTCTTCCGGGGCAGATGATATACATATTTTAGTCCGATGCAGATTGATAAAAGCTAAATCACAAGCTTCCGAAAGCGCCGTATGTGACCGACCTTAAGCATGCATTCCTTGGGCTATGTGGTCACATACAACTATTACTTATCTAACTTCTTCTTCAGGTCCCGCAAGAAAAAGCAACCTTCCAGTGTTGACAGCTGAGAAGTGTCAACCGCTCCCACAAATCTGTCAAAAGTTAAGTTCGAATAAATCATCATCAACCTCGTATATATTTACTTTATACTCGTTATTCACGTCTTTCGGTCAATATTCCTACTTCATCTACAGCTCTGAAGCTGTCGGTAGAGACTTGAAGTCACGAAACAGCATTCATCGTCTGCCAAAAACGCACTTCAAACTTCAAACTTTCAATGTCTGCACCGTCGTCAAGTAAAATAGCAAGCTTTGCTAGCCAAAACTCTAGCATTTCGGACCATGAACATGTGTGTGTGATACATATACGGACGCAAATTACAGTTATTCACTTAACTCGGCTGATATGGTGAGTTCATAATTCGAGTTTTAGGAGATCCAATGGCTTGTTCTTGCGGTCTTACAGGTTTAGGTATACCATTAAGTGATAACGGAGAAATTAAACTCGATTGGATCCTAGTTGACGGTCGCCTGTGAGTTTTGTCCGTGAAGAGTGCAGTAAGGAATAAAAAGAGTATTGGAACTCCCTGTTGTCTCTTTGCAATCCCAGCCTACTGCAGTCCGGATGCATTCTACATAAAACTGTGGAACGTCCTACTGGAAGTCAAACGCTTATATGTGGTTGTCATAGCAAATGATTCCAAGTTAAGATAGGTAGAAAGACACACAAATGACACTCTCAAAAGTCATTCGAACAGACAAATAACGGGGACTGCCTGGCACAAGTGTGTTCAAACAACCTAATTTTTCTAGCCGATATGAACTTCAGATACAAAGAAAGTATTTGATCCGGTGTCAACATACAGACCACACAGTTATCAATTACCTCGGGGGAGGGTAAGTGGAAGGTTGTCACTCCCTCTGGTGTGTGCTTGGAAAGCGACCAATCGTTGGTTCAAGCACGCGTATGTCTGCGCACAAATGAATGTAAGAAATAATAACAACAGGGTCATTACGAGAGCAGCTTGACGATGAGAACACTAAGGTTGCTTTAAGTGAGAAACTGGTCAAACAACTATCGGAACAGAACAACACTTAGAAAAAGCCAGACGCTGTCTCGTGTCTACCACAAAAACAGCGTTGAAGACCGTAACTGATTCTCACAAAGTGGTTAGAAAGGGTCAATGGATCTCAGCAGCTTATTCTGAATTAATAGGTGTGCGTGAACACAATCTTGCAGGCTCCGAGCACAATGAGAAGCCGAAGCAACTTACGTGCAGTGACAGTGAGTCTAAGAAATAACCATTAGCAGTTGACGGCAGAGAAGGTCAAGGAGATGGAAAAGACGTTAGTGATAGATAACAGTATTTATTTAGACTAATTAAAGAAACAGCACCAAAAAGTTGGTGCTTAGTGAGAATGGAACGAGGAAGGATGGGTCTGGGATTTACTTGCAGAAGGGATGACTGAAACAATGAGTAGAACACTTCGATGGACAGTTCAACTGGCCTCCAGGTACTATTCCGTCGCCAATTATACAAACAGATCCTGGATGGAACATCGAAATAAGACTTCCAACACTTACAAAAGTTAAAAAAGCTAAGAAGAATCTGAAACTAGGAAGGACAGCAGGGGCAAATGGATGAGTACCGAAGGTGTTTAAGGAGTGGTTGATTACTGGTCAGACTAACTGAAGTATTAGCTACTGTGTGGGAGTCACATTCCTTTTAACTGATCTTAATTACTGATTGTCCCAGTCTTCAAAGAAAAAATCCTCTTGCGATAACCACAGTGGAATAAGCCTTATGAACATAGTATCTACGGTTTTAGGTTCTATAATTATCAGGCATTTGAAAGAGCTCGGGAACAACAAACTGAAGGAAATAAGGCACGTTTCAGATCTAGCGATAGGTGTATCGACCAGATATTAACCTTCCTATGGGTTTTGGAACACAGCCACACGTAATGATGCCCAACACTTGCTGTATCTCTTTATCCAAATGCAGCATCCAGTCCAATCAATCGAGAGGTCTTAAGACAGTGTCTTTTATTGAAGAGTTTCGAGTCAGTACATCACTCTGATGAAGGTTCTGCACTCGAACATTTATAGGCGTGTCAGAGCCTATAGTGAGTACTGTTCATCAAGGATGGTGTCTCTGCCTTGAGGTAATTTGAGAATGTTTGGGATGCACATCATGACATGAAAATTGTTGCTCCAGGAATGGTCTTTACCGGTGTCTTGTAGAACAAGGAGTGAAATGGTTGAGCGCGCTGATCAACCAACTTACTTGAGAAATTGCATCAGCTGTGGAGGATTACAGATTGGAAACGACAAGTGAACCAACACCGCCGGCCCGGCAGACCGTGGGGCGTGGTGGAGTGTGTTATTTTTGGGGCCGACCTTTTCTAACCCCCCCTTCCACTGCGAAGGCAGCATCAGCATGGCACTGCTGGTCATCCAAGGGAAACACCTTACTGCTGTCACACCCCATCCAGCTAGCAGCAGTACAACTTCGCCCTCAGACCCCCATCATAGTATAGCAATTTACACTATGACGGTAACTGCTTTTCGTCTAACCACTACCCAACAGACCTTTCTGGTATGGTAGGACCTCGAGGGAACAAGCGTTCCACCAGCATAGCTCGTTGGGTCATTGTGATATGCAAGCCCGACCACCACGTCAAGGTAGCAGCTATCGGTCGGGCAACTCGGACCGTTACGCAGTAATGCCTGGTCCTATGTTGATAATGATGATGATGATGATTACAGATTGGACACTTGTTACTATGGCCGAGTCTGTCACAACGGTAAAAATGTATTGATTAGCACATTCCGAATCCCGGACATCTTACCTTTATTTCTTTTCGTCTCATACGTGTTAACTTTAATCTCTTTCCCTACTTACATTCTTGTGCACCTCAGTGAAATGTGACGATTTGAAATAATGAATTCCTACGTCGATTTCTGTGCTGATTTGTCTACCTGAAGCAATTTATGGTGAGAACACGGAATCGATGTTCAATACAGAGAGTTTCTAATCACATAATAGCATATTTTCATATTTGGTTTGTTGCTGTAGGATAATTCGACATCTCAGGATGTGCTAAGTTTGCACATTACAGTGTGAGAGCGTTTTGCAAGTGGCCTGATTCAAGGATAAGCCCATTTAACATCACCCAAAAGACAAAATATTTTTGGTCCACTTAAGTGGAGATGGTCATACAAGCTGGCTTCCCATGTATTTAACATAACTGCATCTTAATAGTTAAGTCATCACACTGATTTAATTTAGAATTAATTAAAGCAAAGAACTATCGACATTCGGTGTCAATTACCGACAACAGTCTGAAATCTCAATTTCCGGACGGTGAAGTTTCAGACTGGCCAATCTCCTGATAGGATTGGTTTTCTTCAAGAATTAACAAGAAAATCCATGAACCACGATAGACTAGACGTAGAGTAAATTTACGTTTTTATCGTTGTCCGGTCAACGACTGGAACCCCTTACCTCAGCAGCTAAAATCAACACTTTCCGTGAACGTGTTAAACGAGAAACCAGATATCCATACACACGTCTTCTGTAACCATCATCACACGAAACCTGGCCTACTACCCTTACAACAGAAAAACCAGAAACTATGTTTACCACCCAGCACAAAGTACCATTGACAACCCAAAAAATCCTGAATTTGCCCCAAACCTTCTACCCGAAATTGCCATTAAAATTGTCCCAAAGTCTGCTAAAACTCCCGCTTCTACCCAATTTCACCATTCACCACCCATTACAAACCTGAATAATTTCACAATCTCAAGCACTGGAAACTACGGCTATAACATTCCTTTGACAAACAATCATGGAATTACATGCAGTCGACATTCATGCAAAGTGCGTAACTGTGTTATTGTGAAAATGACAAATTATGCTGAAAACTGCAGACATATAAAATGAAACGATTTATTATTTTAAAAAGAGAATTATTTGTAGATTTCGGTCATTAGTTTCCTGAGTATTGATTACACGTTAGTCTGAGCTCTCCATATTCTCAGAGGAAGACAATACCGGGTGCTTTCAGCGTATTCCGATATGCAGCCATGCTTATCCACTTGCAGTAACTAAGGAAGTTCAATTAGTTTCCAAAGTAAACCTTCCAGCACCTTACGGCGAGGCCTTTTATCTCGCAGCCAAAGTCGACCACGGCTGTTATGAAATGATTTTTAGGTGCTGAAAACAACTCTTTCAGCAGTGACCTCTTCGTCAACACTGCTGTACCTATGGTAGTAGTAGATGACAGACACCTTTGAAGCGAGAAGAAACTGAAATCCAACTTACCTATCATGACGTTTGCAAGCATTAGTTGTAAAAATGGTCTTTGCGTAGCAGTTAATGACTATAATAAAAGTCTGC